GGGGGAGCCGATCGAGCTCGCACAAAGGTAAGTTCAGTTCGAGCCTGGAGTGCGACGAGCGAGCACGCGACATCGCCACGAGAGACCGCGGACCGGCGCACCAAAAAATAAATAGTTTCCGTTGCCGTTACGGGGGAACTCGAAGGCCTCGTACGCAACAACAATGAAAGTACAAAATATATCATTAAATGTTAATTTTTGATTATTTTACATTTTGATACTTTTATATATAGAATAATATGATTGTATTGTATAAAAGATCATACAATTTTGTTTTAAAAAAAATGACTTTGAGATATCCAAAAAACTTTCATTTCTAACAAAATATACACTATATTAAGTTTCCTTTGAAGTCATACATCTTTTGTATATAAGGAATTTTCCATATTACGTATTACATTAAAACTTCTCCGAAATGCAAACATTTTTTAAAGGCCTTGATCTTTATATAACCATGAAAAATTAATTTTTCTGAAAATTAATTCTACTATTATTTGTGCCTCATCAAGCTGTACAATTGTTATCTACGGTATTATTTTTTATAATCTAAAATAATAGTTTTAGAAGGTAAATTAAACTTAGAAGGTAAATTAAACTAGGACCTTATATCTTATATGCACCTTACATCTTATGTATGCGTGATCTTTGATTGTCTGTCATTTCAGTGTGGGCTTACCTTTAATTTTCGCTCCAGGATCGTTCCAAACTTCAACTACATTATTTTATATTCATATAAATATAAAAATATAAACATAATACGTAATATATAAAAAAATGTATACATATACGTGATATATGTACATATATGCAACATATTTATACGCGTACACGTGTACATGCACAATTGATCAAGACATGAAAACATATTCAGAAATGTCAGATTAGGATGCCGAGAATCGAGCGGAAGATATTTACTTAGATTGGAAAAAACAAAGATGAAAGGCGCCGCGTGTGTTGTTCTTTGAATAGCTGTGCAATCCGCAGTCAACGTTCAGTTGCATATTCCCTTTTCATATTCCCTTTTCTCTCGCAAGATTTTGACAAAAACGCCTTATATAGTGTGACTCTTATTATATATAAGTAACTTACATGTGGCTATAAAATTAAATGTACCTAATAATCTATATTTGTAAGTGTTATTTAAAGTAATCTCATTTTAAGAAAAATTAGGACATTCTGATGTCAAAAATAAAGTTAACAATAATTTTTTTCAAAATTAACTTTTTTTTAAACTTAAGTTAATTCAGTCTTAACTTAACTTTTATTAAGTTAATTCTTTATTTCTTCAACTTTTAACTTAACTTTATTAATTTGATAAGCCATTAATTTTAACTTAATTCAGTTTTAAAAAAACATTAACTTACCAACTCTGATATATAGTAATTAAACAATGTACGAGTACAAAAGTAAAGGAGTATAACTTATGTGTGACCTTTCAGGGATCGTTTTATTTCGACGTTTTATTTCGACATTTTCATATGTATTCTTCTTTAAGGAAAAATTAGCACATTGAAATAAAATGAATAAAATCCTTCGTATCAATTGTTCATATTGTTTCAAAATTGCTGTCAATTATGCTTGAATAACTTAAAACTTAGTTTTCAAATTATTGATGCATAAATGATATATGATAGCGATTTCGTTAGGTATAATTTTCCTTCAATGTGATGTCATTATTATGATAATTTTTTGTTTCTATAAAGAAAAATAAAGAAGAAAATGTAAAAATAAAACGATTGCTTTTCGATCGTGGAAAACATTAAGAGTGTACTCTCCTTAAAAATTGAATTGAAGTTAAATATACAAAAATATTTACATATTAATTCACAAAAATTACGTTGAATTTTTCTTAAATTCTGTTATTCTTTTACACACACACATACATGCACACATAAATATAT